GAAAAACTAAAGCTTTCTTCACCACTTAGAGCCATGTGCCACCATTACTGTGTGTGCGGGTGGAGCATGGCTTGATTGAGCCACACCTTCATTGCAGCCACACCTTTACATTGCTGCAGCAGTGCAGCAAGCATGCTGGAGCTTCTTCTTTGTCTAAAAAACAAAAAATTCTCTGTCTCAAAACATTCACTAAGTTTTTACATGCTGAAGCTTCTTTTCTGTGTCAAAACTTTCACTAATTATTTTTCTGTTAATTTATTAAAATTGTTACACACAGACTGTGGCGAGGGTATGCACTTTTGTGCTCTCGTTCTGTCATTCTGTCCACACACTTTAATTGATTTGTAAAAAAAATTATCTTTTTGTCTGAGCAGTCTGGAGCTCTATTTCTTCTTCTAGCAACAGATAAAGTTGCTTTCTTTCATCTAGTTATGCTCTTGTAGCATCCCGTGGCACCAAAAGCTGTGAACTGCTAAACCAGGGGACCTCTCTCCAGGTGAGAGCTCGTGTTTCACTCTACAGGGCCGATATTTGCTTCAGAGGTAGAAAATCCCATCTAACGAAAAACAAAAAAGAACGATTTTGTCCTAACTTTGTTGTTTGTGAGTTACAGTTGCTCAAAGTTTGTGATTTAGCCTCTTTGAGAATTTTTCAGGTGGCACTGGGGAAAGCAGGAGCAACCAGACTCTCTCAGTCTCTTTTAAATATTTAGAAAATTTTTCTGTGCCAACTCTTTCTTGGAATAGAGCTTCAGATGCTAAAATAAATTTCAGCTTTTCTTCTTTCTCCTACCCATGTGCCATGATTTAGTTAGTTGTTGACCACACCCATAGCTTATTTTAATTATTATTATAACTATGCAGTCAATAATAATTTTTTTTTCAAATTGCTTAAAATATCACAGCACAAGTAATACATATCACTCAGGTGAATTCCAGCAGGCGAGTCCATTGCACCATAGTGCTTCATTTTGCTTCAGTAGTTCAGTAGTACATGACACGGCATCAGTTCCTCTCTTGCAACTGCAAACTAAATTCATCTCGGGAAAGATTATATTCAAACTGTGATCATAAAAATCGAATTTAACTTCAATCTCAATGTAGTATTTGCCATTTGGAAAATATGTGCGACAATAGTCATTATAACTTCCATCTTCAATTACGATTTCGATATTTTTTTATTTTCCCAATTTCTTGTATATACGTGTGATCTTCTTCTAAATAATGTCTTTCATGTGTAGCATATGCCAAGGGGCCAAGATTTTGAACTCTGGGATCTGAGTAAGCATCCTGGCAAACTGCACATGTTAACGGAGTTT